GGTGTTGCCTCTTATAGTTTTCTTATTGATCAGATTTGCTTTTTCTTACGTAAAAGCTCTTTTGAAACAAATACTCTTAACATTTTCAGCCTGACAGTAAGTGTCCTCTCTTTCCTACTTTCCTCAAACTTCCTAAGTATCCATTATTTCAGATTACGTTATTTTCCATCTACATATTTTTTACTTCTTGGTCAAATTTAAGCAATAGCACTGTCTGAAAAGCTCATATTCAACTCTACAGATTGCACACTCTTGCATGAATGTACTCAGGCTCTGACTTGGCTGTTTTTTGAATAAAATAAAGGAACAAGAACTTTGTATAACAAAAAAAACCCTAAAAATTAGCATTTAGCAATTGTTCACTTAGCAAATTCAGCACTCTTATTTCAAAAGAAAATTAAAGCAAGGGTTTTACACAGAAAGAGTAGCTTATTAAATTGTTTAGTAGTTTCTGAAGCCAGTGGCAAAATATTTAGCAAGCCTAATAATTAAAAAAAAAGGTAATTCAGTAAAATATTCATAAGCCAGATTTAAACTAGCTTATTATTTAATTTAAAAGTATATTATTCCACCCTTTTTTTGTGAAATATTTACCACAAAGTGTATGTTTTTGTACAACTCTGCCATCAGAATCATTTCAAAGCAGGTAGAGCACATGCATTTTTTTAAATCAATTTTTAAATATAAAATTGGCTGTGATGTATACTCAAAATTAACAGAGCAGATAATGCATTTAACTCCAAAAACCTCCAAAAGAACTTGCATGCAATCACTTAATAAATTGAATTGGATCTCCTGTTTAACAGAGTACACGCAGCATGTAATGTTATTCTACAGTAAGCCATAAAAATCTCTATATAAAAACTATAAAAACATACTAAATTGTATCTATAATAGCACAGTAGCAACTCATCTCAAGCATATTTACAACAGAAAAAGACAACTTACGGGTACGATTCTGAAAGCTGCTGAGCTATTTTATAAGCTGTGGGGTCCCTGTCCAGTGCACATACAGTAACGTCGCTGGCTTTCTCTAGCAGAGCTGTAGTATGACCTCCGGCTCCAAACGTCATATCAAGGAAACACTGTTGAGTAAGAAAGACAACACCCTTACCCTAGAAAAGTGGCAAACCAATTGATGATTTAAAGCTTCTTTTGTTAATCTCTCTCATATGCTGGAGGAAAACATACCATTCAATATAGAGTCACAATGCCTTTTCGGAAATATTTTCATATTTTGTGCAGAATTGCAATCAAGCCAGAAAAATCTTTTTAAGGTTTGCAACCTTCCCCTCCCCTGCCCCCCAAGTCCTTCCAAACCAAAAAGGAAAATCATTTGGTATAACCAACTGCAGCTTTACACTCTTCCCATTTCCTTCCATTCTGAGTTGAGAGAAAAGTCACTTGTTTGACTGCTTTGTTTGGACTCGTTTAACTTGAGGCATACAAAGATATATAGAGCAGGGGACTAGAGGAAGTAATCAGCACCATCTGCTTCTTAAGAGTGTGTCTAAATGGAAGGTTGATGGATTTGTGTACCAATTTTAAAAAATGAGACTATCATAGTTTTATACCGCAGATCAAAGTGTGATGGCAGCACAGGCACATATATCTCCTGACTGGGACTAACTTAACAAGCACAGAAAATGTTTTGAAGATACAGTACCATGGATTTCAGTTTACTGTGCACAGACAAAGCCATGTATTTAGGTTACTAAGATAGGCTAAAGCCCAACCCTGCGGTACCTTCTCTATCATCACTCCATGTTAGCTGGATGCAGAATAGCATAGGAATAGCCGCCTTAACACCAATCCAATTTCAATTGCTGGGGCTCAAGTTACACTTTTTGATAAGCAACGTTTATTTCCTTGCTTCTGAGGAATACTTACTGCCCATGAACATAGATCATGTCCATTTTTTTGGATACACAAACTAAGACTGGAAGATTTTTAGTAACACTAGGAAGGCACAACCAGTCTCCGGGCTAAAATTGAGGACATACTCAAGGAACTTTGAATGCACCCTAAAACATGCATAGGTATAGACGCTGCACAAGTTGAGTAAAATTGGGCATTGAAATTCCTGTAGCAAGGCTCTCAGAACTCAAAGTTCCTGGAAATAAATAAGACTGAAAATAACGAAGTTGCTGAAAATAAAGGAGACTTCAGCAGGCTGGTTAACTCCCAGCCACACGACAGAAGAGAACATCTGGAGCAAATGATTTGCCTGCGAAGGGAGATCAAGCATCTGGTGTGCAGCAGGTTCCAGCATGAGAAAGGAAGGAAGAAGCAAGGCAGCGGAGGTAAGACTCTGGGAAGGTGAATGCTGCTCTCCCAATGGCTCTGCAGCTGCTGTAGGCTCATTCTAGAGAGGTTTCCATAGCCAGAGCCCACGTGAACAACAGGCAGACCAGGGAGCTTTGCTCCCGAGACTTTCCTAAGAAACAGTGACTCGGGACACAGCCAACCACCTTGAACTAAGGCAGGCTGGGCTAGATGATTCCACTAACAGGAGGAACACAAGGAAATCCGCTAGAACTTAATGCTGGTTTAAGTCTTTACGTGTAAAACAGCAATGTTGTTTCTAGAAGCTGCCCCAAGTATTTTCCTCCTTTGGCCTGACAACACTGGCACTTAACCGCTCAAACGTCAAGAACTATCCTGTTGACAGAAATACCTGTCTCTTCACTTTGCAATGCAGAGGTTGTATGACTGCAGTTCCACTTAGGAAGTATTTCCTTTCCAAATTACTAAGAAAGTATCCATAATTCTACACTCCAGGGAAAACATACTCGTATTCAGAAAGAGAAAGATCTTTATTGGCTTATGACAGTGTATTTAAACCAAAGTAGAAATGCACCTGAACAGCATCTTCTCTAGTTTCTGCATCTCTGAATTCCCATAATTCTTTCCTAATGGTTGATTTAACTGACCTCTGTTGATTCGGTGGAAAATCAGATTCCCTGCAAGCTAAACCAGCAGAGCAGATTCTCTATATCCATCAATCTTAATACCTGGGTTGGGTTGTTTTTTTGTTTTTTGTTTGCACCTGGGTTGGGTTGGTTTTTTGGTTTTTGTTTGTTTTTTCACTTCTCAAATGATTTTTTTCATATGGAACAGTTTTTGAAGACCATTTATCAAGTGCAATCCTATTAAATAGAAATTAATGTGAAATAAACTTATTTACAAAAATTATACAACCCAGGTAAGAAGTAAGCACCTTTAAAGGGAAACTGTAATGTATCTCTTGAAAGAATTGAGATTCAACCACAAAATCCCCTCGGATAAAAAGAGAAATTCAAAGGCAATGAAGAAAAACCCAAACACTTTTCCAGAAACAGTTTTTAAGAAACATAAATAAAGGCTTTTAATGGAAATCCCACAATAATAATAATGAATATTTATGAAACTAATAATACAACTCTACTGTGGCTAAAACTAAGTGAAATTATGATCCTTTATGATCTTTAGACTGTTATGATTTAATTTTTTTGTGTTCTACCATCATGCTTCCCACGCCTATGATCTAAAAGCAGAACTTTCCTACAATATTTTACAAAGTTCACAGTGGAAAAAAAAACGGTTGTCTCATATTCCAATATTAAATTGCACTGTTCATATGAGGAAATAAAAAACTGACACATACTGTTTTGGTTTTGTAAGCAGTATGCATAAGACAAAGTTATGTTACAGATGAAATAAATATCCATACCATATAAATGCTTCCACCATCTAAGTATTCTGATTTATCTGCTGCCATAACAAAACCAAAAGTATATTCACTGAAACCAATTTGATAAACACAAAATTGAAACAGAAAACTGTAGGTATTATTTAAAACACAACTAGCCATGAAAATTGACCTAGGTTTTGAAAATACTTGCATACATTAAAAACTCTAAGCTACTGAAAACATTTATTTTCTCTGTAAGCTCCCATATTATCACTGTTGATCAGTCAGAGAACCTCTCATGGAAGAGGGTCCCTTCACTATAGAGCTTTTCTGCACTCTACTGTTATTTGTACTACCCTTGTAAAAAACCAGTACTGGCTATTGAATGGGATATTAAACCTATTAGCAAAATTTGTATTACTTCTCTAATGAAAATTAATATAAAAGTGTAATTGTTAACTCTGGATTTACCTTAGAAAATTGCAAAAATTTAAATGAACTCTAGAAAATACAAAAATCCTCTTAAATTATTCTTACAGGTTGTAAGAGATTCTGATATTCTTTGATTTCCATGCAGGTTATTTCCATTTAATCCTTACCAGAAGTAATGTACAAAAGCAATAAAGAGATCTTTGACACTGATCTTCTATTCTAGATAAAAAACTTGAGAAAAATGTGAAGGAACAACAGAAAATTAAAACCACCTTTTTATTTCTTCCACAGGACTAACCCACTCATAAATGCACTCAACTTGGTCACGACAGTCTCAAGTGTCATTTTTATTCTGCAGCAGCTCAAAACAATCAAAACCAATCTAAATTACATAATAAATCATCTTGGAAAAAATAGGTTTAGTCAACATGAGTAACATCATCTGGGTTGCATTTAGTTGTTTTGTTATGCCTAAAACAAGAACAAAAAAATGCTCTTATTTGATATCACAGCTAGAAATCTAGCTCCAAAATTTTTGAAAACTTCAACATTGTCTTCCCTGAAACAGACCTCCAATATTGGCAGAAAGAGTCAAGGAAGGCACTGGAAGCACTAGAAGTAAGCAGCTACTTACTTTAAAAAAAAAAAAAGTTTGGAACAATAGTTTTATTCCACTTAAACCCACTAGCAATGTGAAGTTCCAGAAGACATTTCTTCACCAATGGCTTTGGCAGTTTCCTTATTTCTTGTACATCTGCTCTTTTTCTAAATACCTAATTCTTCTTTGGTGATCTATAGAAAGTATTACACAGATTTAACTTCTCCCTTTCTCTCACCAACCCTTCCATACTATGGAGAAGATCCTTGATTTATCAAGTTTGAATATCAGAAAGTGAAAAGATGAGGTAATGACCTTTTTTGCCAAGTATATATCCAGACTGCTTCTCTTCCCCAAAATGAAATTTTGAGGATCTTGTGGCTCATTCAAGAATATTTATATTTGTTATTTTGCTTAACAGTCTCACCTTTCCTCACACACATCTGCCTCTGTTTTCACTAATTTAAATTTTGATAAACTAGCAGTGCAAAGGAGAGAAGAGAAAGAATAAGGATCATTGTACCATGATATAGTGACAGCACTCAAAAGCTTTAGTTAAGAATTCATGCAAGCGTTCATGGAGAATAAAACACATGGCTCACCATATTATATTGCCTTTTCTGAAATAAAACCAACACAAACCAAGCGAACATTTAGGCAAGAGTAGACAACACTAACATGATCTTTAAACTGGGAGCACTATGTAAGAGGAACAGCTCTGATTCAAGCAGAAGTGACTGCAGGACTGAATACAGAGTGCTGGATAAAATTCTGCATCACCAGCATTCATGTAATAGGCATTTTTGGAATCCTAGCAAACCTAATTAAAGCTACATTAATTACACTTTGGCATTACCGTGTTTACCTCAAAGACCTTCCATGGATAACCTTTGAACTGCACAGATATATATGCCTAAACTAGCTAGCAAGAACTCATAGAGATGCTTCATATTCTGGCTGTTCCACTCAAAAGCAACATTTTGCATCTAGGACATAAGAAAAATATGACCTTAAATTATAAAATAAAATAATTTTATTAACACAACTATTTTGGAGCATTGATTAGATCTGAAATTGATCAATATACTATATCACTTCATAAGACGCTTTTAATATATTCCATTCATCTGTTATGCCTGAAATAAAAGAAAGATGCTTCATTTTTTTGTTCCTCTTTCTCTCTTGCCTAGTAGTTTTTAATCAAATAAAATTAAATGACATTTTATCCTCCTGGTTCTATAAATACCAGAAAAGATTATTACATGAATTTCGCCCGCAGTGACTCACCGTTCCATTGTTAAGTTATGATAGCCCCATCAGAGTTCCCCTTGGGAATTTTATAATCAGTTTGTGACTGTACGTTTTAGAAACCATTTGGCTTT